TGGGCATGCAACTGTTTTGTCGTTTTTGGCGTGCGATAACCCAAGTCAATGACTGCCACTGCGGTCTGAGATCCGATCCCCACACCACCTCGGCCAACCATCTCCTCCTTATCCGGCATGAAAAGTGAACTTGACTGCACTCGGCACTCGGCACTCGAGTGCACTGCCAACTTACGGGAGCCATGGGCCAAGGCGGTTTCGGCCGGGCCAAAACTGCACTCCCGGCCGCAGTCTCATCCTCATCAGCATCATCATCGCTGCATACAATCGCCGATAATCTCACGCTTGGCATCGGCAATATCGCAGCAGACAGCGCATCCGCACTGGGAGAAAACTATAGCAAGTTCTTGGCGCTTTGAACTACTAACTAGGAATTCATATTCATCATTTAAGCTTTGAAGGATACAGGGATTGCTTTAGATCATATTCTATACCTGCCCATAAATTCCACCTGAAACGACTTTACCTTTCTCTCAGTGAGCTCAGATCCGACCTGCGCTGGGAGTTCGGTTTAGTTCGCTTTAGTTTAGTTTGGCCCCTGGTCGGGCAGTTGTTGTGACTTGGCATTCAATTGAATTTCGTTAAATTACATGAATGTATAACCATTTTAATTTTCTTTTCGGCTGCTGCTCGGAATCGAATCGTCGGGGATCTGGTTTTTGGGCCCTGCCTGGACCGGGATTGGGATGGGACTCCTTCGCTGCGATGGAATGGGATGCGATCTCGCCGCGCTTGTAGTCGATGCCTTTTGAATGATGACCCTACAAATCACGTTTCGCAATGGCTCTGGTTCCTGCTCCGATCATCAAGATGCTGGGCCGCCGATAGTCCCACCAGGAGGCATTCCCATAATGACGATGATGATGGGGAAGTGCCAGCAGCGACGGCTCCCAGGAAAATGGCCTTTTCGAAGGTGTTGCCACTGGGCTTCTAGTTTGGCTCCTCCAGCTGGAGGCTTTCCCTCCGCGGTACAGTGCGAACCCAGTTCGGTAGTCGGCCGTGCACTATTAGTTAATGGTTTTCCAGTTGATTGACGTAGCCAATATTCCTTGTGTCATGTGGGTTTTTATTTTTTATTTTATTTTGTTCGCCGTTTGGTTTTTTGACAGTGTTTGTGTAACAAATCCCATTCCGTGACTGTCAAAGGGCCAACCACTTTTGTTTACTTAGGTTCCCAGACCCGCGCAGGGCTGAATGGCATAACGATTCTGTGACTACAACGACTCCCACCCAGAATTTCGCACTGCACAAATCATGTTCATTACCCAACCACCGCTCTGTCAGTTAATTTCAATTTCGAACATGATACGCCCCAAAAAGGATAACTCGTGTGACAAAAAACAATTAAGTCCCGGGTTGACACGAAACGTGAATGTCCCGTTGCATAGAAGACAGGGAGTGGGTCGCATTTGGATTCCGATTCGGATTCGGATTCGCAGTCGACAATCCAAAGCCCAAGTAATGCTCGTTCACAGCTACCAACACCACTACCTGCACATGCACACGGTGAAAGCGTGAAAACGAAATGAAAAATCACGGAGTAAAATATGGGCAGGGGGGTAGGTGAATGGCGAAGGACGGAGGGCGGGGCGGGTTGGGCGGCCAGGCATGCACAATTGGGCGTTGTAATTGAATTAGTCACACCCACAGATTGCACACATGAATGACTTGCCGAAGACAAAAAGACACAGGAGTCCTGGGGGAGGGAAGGCTAAGGCACGAAAAAACTGCGATTTATTTATTAAACTAGGTTACCAGGCAACGGACCAGGAGGGCGGGACGGTGGGTACGGGAGGTATGGGCGGTGTGGGACAGGAATGAATGGATTTTCCCAAGGCTGGACTGGTAAACGATTTATGAAATGCATTTAAGCAGCGACTAAGCCAGATTACACAAAAAGGATCTGCCATTCAAAGTTCTGCCCAGTGAAAATGTCGATTTAATATGGGTCTTTTCAGTAGAATCTATGTTTGTCCGTTGCTCGGCTTTAGTTTGTGGAAAATGCTTGCAATTTCCATGAAAAAACATTTATAATAATATTTTTATAGTTGTACTATTTACTTACTTTTAGTTTCTCGATTTCAAATATTTAAACTTCATCCATATTTAGGCATTTTACTCAAGACCTTGGCTAAGACCTCTCTGCATACTAAGGCCGGAGTCCTCTGATTTGCCCGCCTGGGAGCTGTGGCCCAGTGTGTCTGTGTGTGTGTGTGCGGCAGTGTGACGGTGTTCTAGTATGCCTGTGTGGGTAATGCGTCTCAAGGACCGCTGTGCCACCGCTCAAGTATTTGCCGACATGTGCAAACACTGCGAGGCCAATTTGCATTATAATCGGGAGCAGTGACGACTTGACCTTGTCACCCAAACACACACACTCATACACCCACATAGAGTTACAGTTAAACAGTCACACAGATACCCACTCACTCACTAACACACATACACCCCGCTTCAGCCCGTTTTTCTACTACACTTTCTCGAGCACTTTTTTCAGCGCCGCCCGAAAGTATGCTTTGAGATTTTGCAGCTCGTAATTAAACATGTAACCGAAGCGAAAGCAAAGGCGAAGGAGAGGGCGACCCAGCACTACATTAAGGTTATTTATCGCCGAGTGTCGAGTGCCCTCCAGCTGCTGCTGCTGTTGCTGCTTCTGCCGCTCTCCTACACTCTGCTACTTTGCCACTCTGCTATTTAAAATGATAAAATGCATGTTGACCTCAACGGAGCTGCCGAGAGTGAGGAGCACTCAACATCCTGGCACGGGGCCTGTAATAAAATCCAAAAATGTGTTGCCACAAAAATGTTATTTCCTAAATAAACCCAACGGTGGGTGGGTGCTCTCAGGTAACCGCCCGGTTCTCCACTTCCACGTGCAGCTCATGGAACATCGCATCTCAGTTCGCCGGATAACGACAGTCTGCTGGGCTCTCCGGCTCTCATCTCGGGCTGAAGTTACTCATGCGGTTTTTACTGGTAATTAAATTAAATTTATTTAAGTTGAGTTAGCTTACGCTCGCTGCCTGGATGCTGTCCTAGCTGTTCTGGATGTCCTGGGTGGGTTACCTTCTGCCAGCTTGGCTTGGGTTACGGCGGTTTTCTGGCAACAATGTTGCGGTGGCCCAACCACAGCACTCGTCCGCTCAGGTGTCCATCCACTTGAGGCCGCTCCCAGTTCGTTCACTGCATTTAAAGTGACAATTTTGCTGCTTAAAGTGTGTAATCGGAGCTGATAAAAGCTTTTGCCATTTAGACTTACTGAATGCCTGGGGACATAGGGATGTAGGGCTGGAATTCTATACTGTTTCGGAGGAACTCAAGAGGCTGTAGTTTCAAAAAGCTCCTTGTTGAGGTTTCTGCGAGATAGCAAAAAGTTGCCCCAAAAGTTTCTCCGAATAAAACCAAAGCAAAGCCTTAACTTGGCCTAAAAAAGTATCCATAATTTCCGTTAAGGCACTAAATGCTGTAGCCCATATTTATTTACCTGCTATCCCGGCAATTTTGTGGCCCACTCAAGAGCAATTTACAAAGTGGAACCACCCGAAAAACTGGTAAGGTCAAGAGTCAGTTGGAAGGAAAAAGGGATAGAAAACCAATTGAAAATCTGGCTCCGGCGGTTGTTATATTCATATTATTTTTTGCTTTTATTGCACAATTCACGCTGTTTGCCATTTCTGGGCCCAGTTGTTTGGCTGCCAACTTTATTTATAGGTCATTCATTGTGGGGCTATATGGAGTGGCAAGGCGGGAAGGGGACTTCACGGCGCCACAACAACAATGGCTCATGCCCAAGTATGCCGGTATTGTGCACAATATATTATTTGATTTTTCACAATTTTCCAATTGCAGCGATGCCTATTTTGTATTTGTTCCATTGCTGGAAATGCTTTGCAAGTATTTACAAATGTTTTCCTTGCACCGCTATAGACACGAATTACCCCTCAACAGAAATCCAGGAAATGCTGCCCACAGAAAATCTGAAACCAATACATGGAATACAGTATACACTTTGAAAGTTATACCTTGGATATACCTTCTTACTATCTTCTTAAGAGGAAGACTGTTAATCACTGAGAAGTAAATGATTTTCTTATTCCTCGACATATGGTTGTATCTATCCAATAGATAACCCTTGAGATAGGGATCGCCAGGTTGGTAATACCCAGAGCCAAGTTAGTATCGTTGGCCCAACATCAGGCCAGAAAGTGTTTGGCAGTGCCAAAAGCATTTCAATTTCAATTTTTATGCTGAGGCTTTGCCACCGTGTTGCTGCTGCTGTTGTGTTGCAGTTGCAGTTGCTGCTGCTGTGCTGTGCTGTTGCTGCTGCTGGCAGGCAGTGACTGAAATCGTGCCGTTAATCGCTTTAAATATGCGACAGGTTGTTGCCAGGTCGGTGGCGTCTCCTCCGCGAAGCTGGAGAGCTGGAGAGCTCGTGTTTTCAGCTGGATTTGCAGCCTGTGAGCGAAGGATTTCATAATCCACTGCATTTGTCCCGCCGATTATGCAATTCGAACAGCAGCCGACAGTTGGGCTGGTTCCCTGATAGCCTGGTACTCGGCGGTGCAGACAATTCAGGAAGTCATTTGCCAAACGTATTAAGGCCTTTGTACAAATAAATGTTTATTTAAATTAGACGCCCGACAAATAAACACAAAAGACCTGGAAAAGCGGCCTGGAAAATGCCGAAAATACGAAAGCACAGAAATAAACGGCAGCGTTTTGTGTTTGATTTTCACTTTCTATTTGCGGTCGGTTTACCATTTCCATTTGATTTGTTGTCACCCATTGTTATTGCCTCTGTTATTTTATGCAAATTCGAGTGCTCTGGTCACTGCCTGCTGTTTGTTTATTAAAAATATAAACCGAAGTCAGGATATCGTTCAGTGATCAAAGTAAATGGACTCTAACCAAGAATGTTTTAACTTTAAACAGTTAGTTAGCTTAGATAACAGATATTTCTGAACAATGTATTGAGCATTATCAAATAAAATATCATAATATTAAGCAGGCGTTTCCTGTTGCAGCTCTTGCATATAAGCATAGGGGTATGCCGCCCACACAAAGACCAAAACTGAATAACAAAATAGAGATTTGCTATTAGAAAGAGTGGGAATTTCAGTTGACTTACATAAGTAGATGACATTCGTTAGACATAGCACAATATCTCCAGAAATATTATGCCTATGGTCATTTATTAGGTATCCCAGCCTTATGATAATCATAGCAACCCCACATGTCAGGGAAACTACTATCCAGGTCACCAGCATCCACCGAATTTCCTAAAGGGTTAAGTTCAGTTTTGAAATGAAAACTGTTTTTCTTTGCAATTACTTGCCTGCAATGCTCCTACGATCAGGAAAAGCGAAGCAAAAATAATGGGAAGCCAGGATACCACCCACGCCGTTAGCCACGTACTGAATCTAATAAAGACTGTAACATTGTTAACGCCACTGATGAGTTAATGTTGTGTTAATAATATCTGTTTTAAAAACTCACTTAGCTTGTGACCGCTGTATGAGATCTCCAGAATACCTAAACATATCGTTCCTAATGCCATTAGAACGCAGCAGACCTTTTGACTTTTGCCCGTGCACATTACAATATAATACTATATTAGTCTTAGAAAGCTAGTAGTAGTAGTTACATTCGGGAAGCTCTAATCTTTTTCTCTATTATAAAAAACCTTTGAACTTTAAATCCAAGTCACTTTGGTTTTTGGTTCTCAAATTTGTCAGATCATTCCTTTTTTTCCATCACTAAACAATAATTCAATAAAAACAAAAAAAAGTTGTTCTAGAAAAGAAAAGTGTATAGAAAATGGCTAGTAGACTAGTTACGATAATAAAGCAATTGGCCTTTCTCTTCCGCTTCGCTATTGATCTCTGCCAAAAGCCAATCCGACGACCTTTCCATTCCCCCGCCGACTTCTTTATAGTAAAAAAAGGGCCAAATAAATAACTTTGTCAAAATTTTAAAAACAAATTTGAGGATTTATTTAGCTTGCGTGCTTAAAAGTGGGTACTTTCATTAATCAAAAAAATGGCTTAGAGTCCTAGCGCAATTAGCTGTAAAGAAACCCCCTTTTGATTCGCTGTAATACCAGTCAATTTTATCTGTAAAGCCCTTCTCGGAGTTCATGCCTGTAGGCATAGGGATAGTACACGAAAAGAAATACCATTACTGAAAGTAAAAGGTATTATATCATGCTACTGACATGTAAAGTTGACTTACATATAAGGAGTATTATCAAACAGACGCCAACTATTGGGTAGGTAACATAAGGGTTGTTAGAAAAGTACAGGGAATATATTATAATTTTCAGAATAATAATAATCATTCCACAAACCAGTGAGACTATCACCCAAATCATCAACAGCAAGGTTTTTTTCTAAAAATAATAAGAGGTTATCCCTTAGCTTTATTTGCTTCGCGTTTACTTGCCTTTACTGCTCCTACAATCAATACGATTGCTGCCAGGAAAATGAGTAGCCAGCATATTACTATTCCCAATACCAGTTTATTAATGCCTCTAGTGGCTAAAAGTATATTAGGTAATGCATTTCGGAGCAGTATTACCTACCCAACTGGTAAGTTCTGTATCCAAATTCCACAAGCGAAAAAATAATGGCCAGCCCTCCGATATAGATGCAACAGTTCTGCAGGTGTGACTTGCCGCACATCCTAATACCTTTGTGACATCTTATTTAGTATTTATGAAAACAGTTCCTATTTATGTCTGCTTGGTAATGACTTTGACATTTAACGCAAAAGTATATTGCAAATATTCATTCCAAAGATTCAAGATTCAAATGCCAAAACAGGGTAACCCATTTCCAACGTTAAACGAACATATTGATAATTGAATCAACAGCTTGTGGCTGTTGCTGCATTTTGGCGAGGTGGCACCCGGGATTCCCTTCATCCTGGCAGGACTTTGCTCCTGATATTTTCACTAGTGCCAGCATTTTAACTAAATTTTTCAAGCAATTCAAGCAAAGTTGCCAAAGGTTGACAGTGGGCGAGCAGGGGCGTGGCAGTTGCAGTTTTTTTTTGTTGACTGCACACGCCGAGAAGCGGCAACAAATGTGCAGAAAGTTTTCGCAGAGCTCCGGGACACCGGGGCTATTGGCATTGCCAGTGGGCGGAGGGTGGAGGGCAGGAGGCCATTAATTAACTAGAAATGCCATTTTCCACAATTATACGTTCGCCGACTATATAGAAATGTAAAAACTAATTACATTGCAATTTGCCAGCGTAATAGCCCGGGCCAGGCTCGTGTCTCCCCCTTTTCCAGCAAACTGCATGCAAAGCAAATTTTATGGGGCAAGGATATGGAAGAAGAAGGGGAGGTATGGGCGGATGGCGGACTAACAAGTTTCCGCGCTACTTCCTTGGAAATTCAAAATCAATGCAGAAAGCGAAGGACACATCCTGGTGGCTCGGAAGTTTGTCCAGGCCCAAGCAAAGTCCCGCTCCCTGTTCCCAGCCAAACAACTTGCAGCTCTGAGCAAGGACTCAGGTGTCCTTTTCAGCATGTGTGTGAGTGCTGGGGAGGGCGTGGCAGCATATTATATGCTGCATGCAAGCCAATTGGAGGCCCAGTTAAATGGGAAACATTGGTAACAAGACCGAAGAACTATGGTTAAGATAACTATAAGATTTACCCCATAAAATTCTTATAAAATAACATATTTTTTTAAATATTTAAAAGCTCTTCTTTCCCTAACTTACTCCTAATTAGGGGAAAGTAACTGAGCTAGAGCTGGACTTTGATTGACTTGGCCGATTAATGGGCAGTATAATTTGCATGTGCACCATTGTGCTTAGCGGTTACTTAAGCCGGGTTTAATTTGCCTTTAGTGCCCCGCAACAGACACACAAAGCTTTTGTTGATACATTAGTTGTTGATATGTAGCCGTTGTTCAGGGCAACGGACAATTTGATTGATGTGGGATTTGCGGCAGTTGCCTTCACAAACGCCCTCGTCCACCAAAGAGGTCTTCCTAATGGGCCAATCTGCATACGAATAGGGCTTATGTGTGGTAAGGTGGTAATATTGTTGGCCAAGTGCAATCAAAGTGCAATTGAATACTCTCAAGCAGCTACTTGGTAGTATTTTTCAGGTATTTTAAAGTTTTATATATTAAAAAGACCAAAAAACAGTTGCAGCTACTAGCTTATGGTTTTCTTGCCACTCCTTAATAGACAACCATTGCTTAAGTCCGATCGAATGACGTCGTAATAGAGAGGGGTTCAAGACCAGTTAACCTCTGCTGAATTCCGTCCGCCAAACGAGGTGCATTTGAGCCATCATAAGCCCGATTGTCCGACTGACGGCAGCCGGAGAAGAAGTTATGACTACAATTTGCGCTAAACCAAAGCAAACCCAAACAGTTTGTGGTCGCCTCTAATGCACTCACATATAACCCATGCCCGGCCAGAGTCCGACTCCGAGACCCGAGCTCCTGGCCAATAATTACGCAGAGGAGCAGAGGGGAGCTGGGACGTAAATTATGTGTGCAAGTTGTGCGTAAAGTTCGGGCAATGCTTAAACTTTAGCGCCGTGCTCGAGGACGGAGTAAGGGCTAGGGATTGGGGACGGGTATCTGACTCGGAGGAGCAGCTATCGGGGGACCAGGATGGCCGCTGACAAAGTGGCTGCACTTCCACTTCCCGCCGATGTCATAAAGTTTATCAGAGGAAGCCGCTCCTCGGCAGCCAGTCGTCGTTTTGGGACCCCATGTGCACAGCTCCACCATTGTGCCGGCTCCTTTCTATACTTTATGGCATATTATTGGCATAAACATGGCGACGTGCAGTTGGTGAACCGCTCGGGTTCGGGCCCAGACCTCCGCCGAGTGACTGGTCTGCAAGGTGCAAGCTGGAAATTGTGTGATTTATTCGATGTGTCAGACAAAGCGTTCAATTAGCGACTTAAATTGCGAGCCACGAAGGCCTAGACAACAAAAGCGGGGCGAGATTCTGAGCTTTCCGTTGGGGAACCTCTGACCCAGTTCTCCCAGTTGACAGTCGAAATATATAAAATATGGCCGAGGGTCCCCTTAAGATGCCCACATAAATACTTTTCATGTGCGTGTGCTGTGTCTGTGCTGTCTTTCAATCTTTAGGCCCAAACGGCATTGCGTAGGGCCTGCCGAAACATTTAGCACAATTTGCGCCACATTGGTCCCAATAACAATGCCTCATCTTCGATCTCCAGAGCCGCATCGGTACGGTCCATTATTGATGATACCGAATGCCTCTAAATTATCAATTGACCATAAATTTGCTCATTACGTTCGCTTCTCTTCAGTTCGAGGGGCATTTTCATTCAAGTTTCCATCCTCCAAGTCCACTCGCCTCCTTGGCCGATTCTAAGTTTTTGCGCGTCTGCCGAAACGCTTTGCTTTTAACCTGAAACGACTGGACATCTCATCATCATTTGCCATTGTTGGATTGGATTGGTTTGGTTTGGTTTGGCATCGAGCTTGGCTTCGAGTTCAGTTTTGGCCTGGACTCCAGCCGAGTTGGCTGGGCTTTTAAATAACTTTTTTATAAGCACTCGCGCTCGGCGAGTTATTGGCATTTGGTCTGAGATGCGAGATGCGAGCTGCGAGCTGCGAGCTGCGGTTATGGCCGCCCGGCAAATTGTTGTTTACAGCTGTCGGGTGTTGGTATTTCATGGCCCTGTTCCTCGGCTGCACCGCTATAATTGCACTTTATGCTCTGGGAGCGCACCTCGAAAGTGGGCCGTCCATCCGTGCTTGGCAGCTGAGTTAGGAGGCGATTAGAGCTCGTCGCAGAGTTAGAGACCGCTTTGGCAAATAACTCCCGCCTAATTTGGACCCTTCTCGACATCGGGCCAAATCGTTTAATGCCCGTGATTATGACGTCACTCGGATGATGCCCGCGGAATTTATTAATCTTTGTCCCTACTATGTATAGTAATAACAGAGCAAAGATATTTTAATGATTAGTTTATTGGTATTTAAGATGGAACCTTATTTAAGATCATTAGCTTAACATGAAACAAAAATCAGAATCAAAGCAACCCAGGCCCTAGCTGGTTCACATTTAACATTCATCTTAAATCAACTTAGTAGAACTTTAGCAACAAGGAAGCAAAATGCAGGCTGCAGAGGTTGATGTAAGTTTGCAAAAGATAATCTACTTAGCCATATAATGTCCTGTTAAACCTCCTCAGCCTCAGCGTACAAAGAGCTATGTGGAGGAAGCCTTTCGCCTAGTATCAGAAAAACCTGGAGTAGAGGAAGTTTTGATCATGAATCGCTCAGGAGTTCCGGTGAAAACCTCAATGGATCGTCAGGACAGCTTACAGTACGCCTGTCTCTATGACAATTTGCGGGAGAAGTGCCAGGCTTTCCTGACCAAAATAGAGCCAGCTCAGACTTTGACCTTCTTGAGAGTTCGTACCAAGTACCATGAGGTACTTATCACGCCGGATGCAAAGATCACCGTTTTGGTGGTCCAGAATGCCAAGGATTCTTTTATTAACATAAATACTTAGTTAGTTAATATGGCTTCTCTCCTAACACGTTATTGGTGGTGGTCAAACAATTGAAAATAAAGTTTTAAGTGGGACTTTGGCAGATTTCCATCTACAAGCCCTTAAAGAGCATTAAAGAAGAAATAGTTTTATTAATATATCCCATTCCGAGAAGTTACATGTAAAATTAATTTTAATTTATTAAACTGAACGTAAAGAGAGGCTTCTTCACTACAACCCATGTCGAGCCAACAAGTGGTTTTCTTTTCTGTCTGCCAAACATCCGCATCCGAGGCACTCCACGTTTTGGCCTGCGAGATTAACATATCACGTCGCCACAACATTTCACAAGCTCCTCCGCTGATCCTCATCCGCGGTGGCACCACTCCGCCCCCTTTGAAAACCGCTTGAGTGGCAGCTGCAAATCAGCGCGAAACCTTTTCCCCTTTTTCGCAAGGGGGCGCTTGTAATATTTAACACCGTCTGAATTTTAATGCGCCTTCGACTGCCGTTCACAGCTGACAATGGTGTGCGTCTAATGGCCAACTAATATGCGCAGAATCACTTGGCAGCCGAGTCGCGAACTCGATCTGCAGTTCCAGTTGGGCTGGGATTGGGATTGGGTTTGGGTTTGGGTATGGGTGCCCAGTGCCCAAGATCGTGCAACTCGGGGGGAACCTGGCCTGTGTTGCAACACCTTTTTTCGGAGGAGCCGCAGATCATGTCACGAGTTTGCCAGAGAATGGTAAGAGAGAGAGAGAGAGAGGAGAAGGTGTCAATAACTTTCAAATGCCTGCCCAGGATATGCATTATATTATTATAATGCCGCAGTCCGCTCCATTCGTCTCTCACAAAATTTATGCATTTTTGAAGTTTTAATAATGTAGCTCGTTAGCCACGGTTTGTTAAACTTTGTTTTCATTTTCACTTGGCTTCACTTCAAGGGACCTGAAGAGTGGTTGGGGTACGGAGTTGGAGTTTCGAGCAGCTGCACCCGCTCCACATCGAGGCCCCCCAAAACACCCAAACATCCAGGCATTCAGGCATCTATGTAGCCATGTAGCCATGTAGCCACACCGTAAACACAATCACACAATATCCCCCATCACGTGTGCCTGTCTTCACTCCACTCAGACTGCAGTTTTTGTTTTCAATATGCGAGTCGTGAATTTGCCCCGGGTCCTTTTCTGGTTTTCAGCTGTATCCATCGCCGTTGCTGTTGTTACTGTCAGCTATTTGTTGCCGTTGGTCATATTGCATTTGGAGTTGGAGGGTGAGTTGGCGTTGGAGATGGAGTTGGACTTGGACCATGGCGCCTTGCCAACAAAAACGACAAACCAACGAACCAGTCAGCCCGACACCCGTTTGATAAACGAACAAAAGTGAAAACACATTTTGCATTCGGCAGCTCCTGCTTTGCATAACTCTCAAGGATGTTCGAGGGTTTGCATTCGAATTAGCATTGCGCCAGTGGAATGTTGGGGCTATCGGGGTATTCATATCGTCTATACACAACCAAAATCTTATCTTGGGTGTAGATTAGTTTGACAAGGTCTAAAGCTGATGATATACTTGGCTATTCTATTTTCAGAAGGCTATGAATGTCACTTAAGTATTTTTCAGAAAATAAGAAAGACTTCTGAGATTTATTCTTTACCATTAACCATTTAACTTAGTTACCTTGCAGGTCAAACTATTTCTTATCGTGTACTAGTTTACTTCAGAGTTAACTTTCGCTCTTAAATCTGTATTTGAGGACAGGGAAATGCCCCAACGGATTACCCTTACCTGCAGGTTGCTTGTCGAAATCTCGTTCAATTTACCTATTTCGTAACCCGAACTCCCCCAGCACATATTTGATATTAAAATGCCATTCCATACGCCGCAAAGGGAGGAGGAGAAGCATGCAGACGCAGTTAGCCAAATCACAGCCCTAAGCACAATTTTCATCATGGCCATATATCTGGTCATTAGCCGAAATGGACAAGTCGTGAGTTGGTGTTAAGTGGCAGACAACTAAAATTAGTTTTCATTTGTTTGTCAGAATTATGGATGGAATTCATTAGGTGAAACGTTTTGATGGATACATTAAAGTGAGTTGAGATTGGAATTTAATCAGGGAACTAGTTAACTTTGAATCCAATGTCAATAAAGAGAACTTAAAGTTAGTCAAAAATGTGCTCAAAAGATAAAATATATATTCTATGGATTATTGTGGGTCTAGTGGGAGCGATAGTTATGATGGCACTTCTGAGATATTGTATATGATTGTCTCTTTTTAAATTATAAATATCTCATTTTTAATATTCTATTTCAGTTTTTTACATCAGCATTTACGATATTATTTTGCTTACTCCTGTGGTTCTGGTTATTGCAATTGCTTATTCTTTTAAAATGATGTCTGATGTGGTAAGTAACTATCATAATTAAGTAATAAAATCAATTATGAATGTTTCTTTTCTAGGAATTTATAATGTTCGCTCTGCTGGCCATATTAGTCATACCATTTTGCTGCATTTTCGTGCTTGTGTTGAGGATAAGAAACCTTATAATGGATTGGAGTTCTTTGACAAGGCTATGGAAATTAGGACACATTTCACTCATTACGTTTTTAATAGGTAAAAACTGCAATACGAGGTGTGTTCAAAAAGTAAGGTGACTCTTCAAATTTCGCGAATTTCAAATTTTTCGATTATCGATTTTTTTGTTTTGTTATATTGGTACACTCTTCCCTAACATCTGTACCAAGTTTCAATGGAACATCCTCTTTTGTTTGGTTGTGAGAGGCGTAAAGTTACAAGTTGTTTTGCGAGCTCGGCGATTTTTTGCTATCGAAAAATATGGATCAAAGGATTTGGATTTTTTGGCCAAAAACAACACCACAATAATGCCTCAGCCACCATATTCACCGGATTTGGCCCCATGTGACTTTTTCTTGTTCCCAAAACTGAAGATAATCGAAAAATTTGAAAAATTTGAAATTTGAAAAGTCACCTTACTTTTTGAACACACCTCGTATAACTTCTAAAAGGTTTCGATAATAGAAAAATTTGAAATTCGCGAAATTTGAAGAGTCACCTTACTTTTTGAACACACCTCGTATAATCCCTATGAAATGTACTAACCCGCACTAGTATTTCCTTGTTTTTGGCTTCTATTCATTGGTTACTATTATTCTATATCAACTGGCACTTGAACTCCTTAATTTTCGGCTGCTATGTATAAAAAATAATTGCAGAATGCTTGGTGGCGGAAAACTGTTGATGAAGTTGCTTTTCCATTCAACATCAACGTGATTAGCTGAAAATTTGATGCCAAACTTCTAATGAATGAAAATCATTGGAAAGTTTGCCACTGGCAAGCTTCGCTAATAAGACACATTGTCTAGCCAAAGGATCTGGCCGAGGCGAAAGGTGAGTTACCGAAATACAAACGACGGGTCCTGCTCCGCCTTAGACGCTTGTTTTTCCTTGTTATTGTTGTCGTAAGTTTGGCAACTTGTTCGCTTCCTTGGGCTAACCGAAGCACATTACAACTAATACACTCAGACGATGTACCCAAAAGTTTGCTTGCGTCGCACAAAGAGCATAATTACCAACAACATGGAAAAATCGGGAAAATTCAGTGAAAAGGGGAAAGCGGCAACTTTTCCACAAAATTATTTGCGGTCGCATGGATGGAGGGATGGAGGGAGCAGGGCAAAAGTTTGACATAAAGAAAAGTTTGCGCAAACCGACTTAAAGAAAATTATAATTACACGCACAGTCAGCCAAATAGTCCAAGTTTTGGGACCTGGCTTTCCGTCTTCGTACTCGTCGGGTTCGTACTCGTCGTCTTTGGTTTCGGTTTCGGAAAATTCTGTAATTGCCGTTAGTTTTCGAAGTTTTCAATTCGCAATTTGTTCGCCAGGACAACTGGCAGACAAACAAGAACAGCAAATTATGGTAAAATATGCAAAAGGGGGTTGAAAAAAAAAAAGGTAAAGGAACACAAATTCGAAGGGAACCATGAAAATTGGAGAATATAATTATACCACCTACTCACCCCAGCAACCTCCCCCAGGTAGGCCCACACAAAGCTCGACAAAGAGCCCGGAAAAACTGAGCTGCCCAGATTGAATTACATCGACGTGCCTTTGGCTTTTCCCTAGTTTTTCGGCTAGTTTGCAATTTCTACAGAACTTTATAATTGGCCAGGGCAATTAAAACTCACTTGAGGAAGGGGTCAAAGGCATGTGAAATAATTTGCTTACATTTCTATATCTATATGAATGTTTCCTCGGCCATTATATATTCCTGATTCCAAGAGCTACGTTTAATATTTAATATTTATAGAAACATTTTATCACATTTTTCCATTTCTCGATTTATTCATGCCAAAGTGGAGTGCTGGCCAGCCTCTGTTCCCTCCCTATAAAACGCTCCCCTTCGACTCGTATTCCCATTTTAATTTGCACATGGAGCCGAGGTTATTCCTGGTCCGACCCTTGGTCACTCTGTCCGCCTGTCCTTTGGGATGAAGGGAGTTTCATTTATTTAATGCATGCACAATTTCCTAGACACTTTAACGGCGACTTTTGATTTCCATTCCCTGATCTCTGGAGGGGGGCTTAATGTGGCGGCAGGCTTTGCACAAAGCCAGCTGGCCGGACCGACTTTATAGAACGGCAAAGGAAATAAATATAGACGGTCTCCCGGCAGCAGACCAAAATAAAAACAGTCTAACAAAGGGATTTTCGCGCTTTCCTTTCAGATAACTTAACTGGGGGGATGATTCGGCTTTACGGTTAAGATTGCACTTTTCCGGCTGCTGGGTTTCATTAAAGTTTGGGATTTTTAAAAAGTCTACTGAAGAAAGGTTTAAAGTTTAAAGCCACTCATGGGGGAGTTTAATGTCCTTTATAATATGAAACGTTTTCAATTTTAAGGAATCATCTGTTGTTTGACTTTTCTGTTAAACAACTAAAAACCAAAGCTAGTAAGCACAATGTGTAAATTTAGTTTGAGGTTTACTTTGCGAACGCAATGCTGCGTTTTTGCCATTGCCGCTTTGATAATTTGGACTGCAAATATAGTATATTCATTTCCCCGTAAATATACCTTTAGTAACAAATATTATACTAACAAGAGACCATAAG